CCGAGCAGCCTGCACGTGCAGACGGGGCACTGACTTGCACCTTTCCTTCGCAGCCCGTCTTGGGAAGACCCTGGGGACTCCAAATACCCAGAAGGGTTCAGTTCTTCGAAGAGTTTGAAATTTGTAACCGATGTCATTAAGCAAATTAACTTTTTAGCATGATGACCAGGTGGCGAGAGCAGGGAACTCCCAGCTAAGTTGATAGGGGGGTCAAGTCAGGAAAGACACCCCGAGGCACTAAGTGGGCCAGACGAGGCACTAAGTGGGCCAGACGTGGAGTCCAGGGAAAGGGGGTGTGCCCGGAGGGGTGCTGCGCTTCCCGTGTCTGCACCGACGCCCTGGGGCCCTTATCAACATTTCCTGCTTTTAGGTCTGGGGTGGGCCCCGCTGTGCCCCTGGTGGCTCCCTGGCTAGGAGAGACTGGGGGCAGGGACATGAGGCAGTTGCTCCAATAAGTGGTTCAAGGGGTCTGAACTCCAGCCCTGGCCGAGGTCACTGGCTGCCCGTCGCAGTGGGCGGGCACAAGGTGGAGGTGGGGGCTAACCTTCCAGGGATAGGAGGCACCCCACAGCTGGTCCCGAGTCCCCCTGTGAACCCTTCCCACACGTCATTCGTGGGTGCCAGGCCCACCTGTTCATGGTGGTCTTTACCTAAAACCCCTTCCCCACCTGAAACGGCTTGCCTGGCTTGCCTTCATTCCTGTAGAATCACCATCCTGGTAAATAGAGGGTTCGTCCCGAGGAAGAAAGTGAACCCTGACACGAGGCAGAAAGGCCAGGTACGGGGCATGGACTCGTCCCTCAGGTGAGCAGGGCTCAGGGAGGCGGGACCCGTCCCCATGTGGGCCCCAAAGAGCATCTTCCTTTCAGGTGGAGGGAGAAGTGGACCTGGTCGGGATGGTGAGGTTGACGGAGACCAGGAAGCCCTTTGTTCCTGAGAACAACCCAGAACAGAACCACTGGCATTACCGGGACCTGGAGGCCATGGCCAAGCTCACAGGCGCCGAGCCCATCTTAATTGATGCCGACTTCAGTATGTCATGCCCAGCCCAGCCCAGCCCCAAGCAGCTTTAGTAAATGCCAAGGCTCACCTTCCTCACAACCCTGGGCATCTAGTTGCTTCCATCCTAGCATTGGAGGAGGGGCGACAGTTCTAGCAAGTCTGGGAGGGGGGGAAGGCTAGGGGCATGGCTGGTTATGCATCAGAGGTCCTACTGAAGTGACAGCTCTGGGAAAGGGCTGAGAAGGCTCCAAGTTAACAGGTGACCAAGCAGCTGGTACTGTGAGACCAGGGACACTGAACTCACGTCTCCGCAGAGAGCACAGTCCCTGGAGGACCCATTGGAGGGCAAACCAGGGTGACCCTGAGGAACGAGCACATGCAGTACATCATCACCTGGTGAGTCCCCGTCTGCAGCCACTCCCCACCCCCCCATCAGAACCTGTTCACTGTTCACTTTATTTTAACCCCAAGGTATGGACTGTGTGCGGCCACATCGTACCTGTGGTTTAAGAAATTCCTACGGCGGACCCCTGGCACGTGACAAGATTAGCTGCAACCACTGGGTACGCGTATACACGCATCGCCACGCGTGCTGTGCCTTTCCACCTGAGTGAACTCATTAACTAGTTGATCGGAAAATCTCGGGGTTCAGAGTCAGCCCACATGTGACTGAGCAGTTTGAGGTAACACAGCAACATACACGCTAGGTCTGAGCCCCCGCCCTGTGGAGAGTAAGGGCCCTGGTTTGAAAATGTTCTCGCCACCACCCCAAACTTACAATAAATAAAACAAGTCACCAACCCCAAATGTGCCAGACAGTGGCTGAAAGAATTTTTATTACTTTTATGTACAGAACACGTGGCAGTGCGCTCAGCCCAGTTTGGTGGCCAGTTCTTTCGCCTTAGCCTTTTCCAGCTTGGCGATGCGGGCCACTGACTTTGGGCCCAGGACGTTGCCTCCCCAGTGACGGCGAATCTGCAACGACAAGAGCAGCAGTGAGTGGCCTGTCGCTCTCTGAGGTTCTCAGAGTCAGTTCATGCTACTGTTTGGTCGTTCCGAGCTGATCCCCAAACACAACTTCTCAGATCGAGCCAGTCCGATAACGGCCTGACTCACCCGAGACGCTGGTCTAGGGCTGCTGCTTACCTCGTCGTATCTGTCGTTGTAATTGGTCCGGATAGCTTCCACCAGCTTAGCCAGCGCTCCCTTGTCTTCCCTATCAAGGCAGAGGGGAGATGTGGGTCAGACTCCTGGGGTGCTCTCCAGAGAACAAGAACGACTTCCTTTTTGGCTCCAAAACAAGCCTTTTGCCTCAGTTACAGTATGACCACACAGTTTATTCAGGTGAAGAAATTCATAACCATCATTGGCAAAGGTGCAGATAAACATGGTCTTTAGAGTAAAATCCTAAGGGATTAAGTGAACAGGGGATGGAGGAGGTGTCCCCTCCTGATTCTTGGGAAGTTTGGGCCATGCTGAGTACTCACGAGTTGACTTGCGTGAAGGCAACGGTGGTACAGGTCTTCCTGTGGACCAGGCGCCCCAGCCGGGCCTTCCCCTTGATGATGCAGTAGGGCACCCCCATCTTCCGGCACAGGGCAGGCAGGAAGACGACCAGCTGGAAGACAGCGCTAGCTCAGACTATTTTGCCCGGAAGCAATAATATAAAGGCTAGTTTGGTGGCAATTGCTCAGGGTTAAAAAGCTCATGTATTTACACTTCAAAGTTTAATTCAGTGAAAAATTCACATCATTGCAAGAGCCACAAGTTGGATCCCTTGTCAATACTGTCCTCAAATGAAAAGCTGTCACCCCACTTTAGCCTCTCAACTTTATCCTCCAAGTACCGACACAGACCCAATCGGAGGTCAGCAGTCAACGCTAAAAAGCAAGTCAAACCTACCTCGATGGGATCCACGTCATGTGCAATCACGACCAGCTGGGCCTTCTTGTTCTCCACCAGAGTGGTGACAGTATTGACCCCTAGAACACACGACCAGTCTGCATGAGCACTTGGGGGCCCAAGGGCGGGTGGGGCTGCTCTGTTCACAAAGGGTCTACAGTGGGCCTGGCTACGGCTCAGGGTTAAAAAGCTCGAGTTTTGACTCTTCACAGGGATTCCAGGTGAAGAAATTCATGCATCACTGCCAACGGCCTGCCCCACTGCTCATCTTTAAGGAAGGGGCCACTTACCTGCTCGAAGGACAGGTGGCCTCTTGGTGGGGACATCCCCTTTGCCGGCGGCCTTTTTCTCAGCCCGAGCCAACAACCTCTGCTTCTTCTCTTGCTTCGTCTCCGGCCTGTACTTGTGGGCCAGCTTCAGCAGCTGAGTAGCTGGGAAAATAATCGTTAGTTTAGGTTTGTAACTAAGTTCTAATTTTTCTCACTTAACAAGTGTTAGATCACTGTCCTGAACACGAATTGTGCTTCAAAAAATCTTGGGCCACGTAGATGACCTCAATTACACCACCTTTTATGTTCTAGGAGCTAAACAAACCTAAATTTTAATCCAGTACTGCCAAAAACAAGACAACAACCGTGTCCTTACCCAGAAGTCCCTTCCCCGTGCTGGCTTTACGACACAGAACCTCACCTGTTTGGCGGTCCAAAGCCTGGGTGAACTGGTTAATCGCAGGAGGCACTTTCAGGCGCTTATAAAGAATAGCCCTTTGCCGCTGCAGCCGAATGTAGCGGGGCCATTTGACAAAGCGGGTGAGGTCCCTTTTGGGCTGGATGTCCTGTCCTGAGAAGTAAAGGGCAACGCTTGAATGAGGCTCAAACTCCTTGTCAAGTTCATAACTGAGGCCACGCGGAAGGGTGTAGGTGCATCAGCGATCTTGGTGGTTCCAAGTGTCATCACCGTCTTTCAGATAGCAAATATTCTTTCACATCATCTGCACAAACACCTGCCGCCACAGGGGGGCCCGCGACACCTGTCCCCAGTCAACAAGCAGACGAGGCGCACACCAGCCTGCGGTCAGCATGCTGCTCTGGGAGAGCTGGTTTCCCGACGGCCAAACTGAACCCCCAAGGCCGGCATGACTGAGCAGAGGGCCCAGGCGTGCTGGGACGCTGAGGAGGCGGCCATGAACCCTGTAACTCCACTGCCCCCCACTCAAGGGGAGAAGAACTGAACCCAGTTTACAGCCAGAAAGTGGTAAATCGGGTTCCAATCCAGGCAGCCCGCCCTCCAAACCCACTAAAACCTGCTAATACGCAACGTAGCTTTCTGTCCCATAAACTACCATTTGTCACCCAGAACTGAACCGTTTTCATTCAACTTACCAATACCAAAATTCTTGGGTCTTTTCTCAAACAGGGGATTTACCACCTTCTTGGCCTCCTGCTTCTTCACGACAGCAGGGGCCGGGGCCACCTTCTTCCCCTTAGCCTTCTTTCCCTTAGGCTGTGGAGAAAGAAAAACCAGTGAACCCGCCACCTCCTCCTCCACTAGTTTCTCCGGAGAGCGGTGGGGCTCAGGCCGCCTCCCTGATGACAAAGGCGGCCGGCGACGCCCGCTGCTCGCGCATCAGCGATCTTGGTGGCTAAGTATGTCCGCACCGTCACTCAGAGAGCAAATCTTCTCACATCATCTGCACGAGCCTTGAGGGCCACGTTACTCCGCGGCGCTGCCGCGGTGACCCCCGCCCCAGGGAGACACGCCCCTGGAGTCCGGCTCCAGAAGCAGCAAAGGGGGACCCAGAACCCCTCGCCGAAGGCCCCCAGGCAGGCTCCCAGGACCGCGAGGGGTCCCCGGGGCGCTTGAGCGCCTCGGCCGCCATCTGCTGCACGCCCCGCATTGCGGCGCTGCGACCCCCGGATCCTCCTCCCGCCCCGGTCGCCGGGGAGTCTAGCCCGACCCAATGCCCCCGTGCCGGCCCTCTCGGGGCTCTCCTCCCTCCAGGCGGTAAAGGGGCCCCCGTGCGGCCGCGCCCCGAGAAGGATGGCAGCGGATAGACGCGAACGCAGCGCTGGCAACGCGAATAGCGAAGCTACTCACCATCTTGGGCGGCGGGAGGCAAGAGAAAGGAAAGGGAATTGTGGGAAATATGTATGCGACCTCGGAGATCGCGACAACTGGAGCCTGCGCGGGATTTCAGATTTAAAGCGACAGGACTCCTTTCTCTGGCCTCCGGCGAGGGGCGTGGCCTAGAGCGCGAGGCGGGTCTGTGAGGCCGGAAAGGGCGTGGAGACCGTGGCCGGCCGGCGGGGAGCCGCGCCTTCCCCGGGACTGCGTACGCCTCCCCCGGGACTGAGTACGCCTCCCCCGATCCCGCCCGGGCCACGAGTCCGCCGGGCTCGGGCTGTGCCGAGCAGGTGTGGGCATCGGGACGGCGGGGCGGGTGGCCCTGTGATCGACGCCAGAATGGCTCAAAGGCCGCGAGTTGGGCCGTCGGGCCGCGCGGCGGGGCGCGGGGAAAGGCCGCGAGTTGGGCCGTCGGGCCGCGCGGCGGGGCGCGGGGAGGGCGGAGGCCTCGGGAGGCGGTGCTGCAGGCGCCGCGTGGAGCGGGAAGAGTCGCAAGGACCTGTCCGGTGCAGGAGTGGGCGGGTGGGGACCTGCGGGCCTCTCGCGGACGTCCGTGGTCCTGGCCTGGGAGGAATCGGGGCTTGCGGACTCTAGGATGAACTCGCCCGCGGAGGGGGCGTGAGACCCCCGCGGCGCACCTGTGCGCGAATGGCTCGGAAGAGTTCGCTCGGCCGAGAGGGAATCCCTGCAGATCTGCGCGTTCTGCCGAGGTGGGGCATGGAGGGTGGGCGGCTGGCCCTGACTCGGCTCACACCAGGCTCCGCACCGCAGGTGCTGACCGTTAGCCCCAGGCCGCCGCCCACTGCCTGCCGGAGGCCCCGCCATGGCCCAGCAGAGAGCCCTGCCGCAGAGCAAGGAGACGCTGCTGCAGTCTTACAACAAGCGGCTCAAGGATGATGTCAAGTCCATCATGGACAACTTCGCCGAGATCATCAAGACCACCAAGGTGGGTGGGGCCGGCAGGTCCCCTGCCCGTCCAGGGACCAAGGGAAGGGGCGGCGCGTAGAGTGCCGACTGTATGAACTGAGTGACTGCCCTGCTCTGGTCAACAGTGTGACGAGTGCTGTGTGCCAGGTGGTGGCGATACCGCAGCAGGGAACACCCAGGCGAGGCCCTTGTTTCCCTGGGGAGAACATTTTGGAGAGCAGCAGGGGGGTTGATGAAAGAAACCGGCTAATTGCAGGTCCTGGTGAGGCCGCTGGAGGGCACTCTAGTCAAATCGCCAGGTTCAACATCCCGCACCACTTACTAGCCATGGGCTTGGATGGGGACTCGCTGGCTCGGCCCCTCGGTTTCCCCTGCATCAGAGGGGCCTTGCGCTGATTGGATGAGTCTCTCTGTGTAAAGTGGTTACCGCGGGGCCTGATGGGGACCGGGACATCATAGCTATTGCGAGTGAGTGCGGTCAGGGAGAGGAGCTGGGGAAGGCCCCACAGGTGGGCAGGACAGTCAGCGCTGGGGTCGCGGGGCCTGGAGATTCACAGGACCGCTGCAGACGCAGAAGGCTTGTTTGAGCAGGAAGGATGATGATGACAGCTAGCATCCGATTAGCTTTCACTACACATCGGGCGGTGCTGGGAGGGCTATTTGTGTCCTGTCCCATTTAACCTTCACAAGACCCTGTGAAGCAGGTACCACCGTCCTCTCCATTTTCAGAGGAAACCGAGGCTCACCAGATTTAGTAACTTGCCCAAGATCATTCTGCTAATAACTGGCAGAGCCAGGATTTGAACCCAGGAAGCCTGGCCCTGACCCCAGCCTGTGCAAGGCCCTTCGGGAAGCCCTGTCCAGGTGGACTAATAGCCTGGACCTCAGACAAGGGAGGTCAGGCAAGACTCCTGCGTTTACCACCCGAGACACGCCTGGCATGCTCTCTGGTCTTTCCCACCTGTAAACTGTGCTGTCCAGGTTTCTGAGAATCTTGTGAGATAACGATGGTCAAGGGCTTAACACGGTGCCTGGCACCCAGGAAGTGCTCAGTAAATAGTCACTTAACACATCATCCTTTTACTGAGCGCCCGAGGTAGTGACACTCCACACCCCAAAGAGACTGGACCAAGGCCTCCGTGCACCTGGCCCAGGAGTAAGTAGGCGTCCATCTATCCTGACAAAGCAGAACGAGGGAGGGAAGCTGACTGTTGTCTGAGGTCTGGGTAGCAGCACCCACCGTAGAAAGACAGGCGGGGTGCGGGGCTGGGTGTGCTGCTACCTGTGGGCCGGGCACCTGCTGATGCCAGGCTTTCTTGTTTACTCTCAGATTGAGGATGAGACACAGGTGTCCAGAGCCACTCAGGGTGAGCAGGACAATTACGAGATGCACGTGCGAGCCGCCAACATCGTGAGTCACCAGGTGGAGGGCCCGGCCCGGGCTCCAGCGCCTTGGGGTTCCCACTGGGGTTTTCTGGGTGGTGGGCAAACCGCTTCTCAGGAGACTCTCCTCAAGAGGAGGGCTGTTTATGGCAGCGTGTGAGGGGTGGGCAGATAGCTGGCCACATCCATCCTGTAGAGCAGTGGTCCCCCACCTTTTTGGCACCAAGGACCGGCGTTTCCATGAGAATCTAACGCCTGACGATCTGAGGCGGAACTGAGGCGGTGATGCTGGCGCTGGGGAGCGGTCGCAGATGCAGATGGAGCTTTGCCGCCCGCCCGCTGCTCACCCCCTGCTGTGCAGCCTGGTTCCTGACAGGCTTTGGACCGGTGGCAGTCTGTTCCCCGGGGGGTTAGGTCCCCTGCTGTAGAGTGCTATGCAGTGCTTGGAAAGAGGTCGGCCCTTTCTTGCTGATAAGAAAGTTCTCCAAGATGCATCACGAAGGCAAAAGCAAATTGCCGAATGAAATGGGATGTTGGTCCCTTCTGATATCACAGAACAAGCACATCTCCTCAGTGTTTCCAGAGGTGTGTGTCTGCGGACGAACACCCATAGGAGAAGGTCCCAGAGGGACCTGCCCAGCTGGCAGGCACGCCGCCCCCAAGGAAGGGCAGGGCAGGAGGTTAACGGAATGGTGGCTTTCTCCCTGGGCTTGGAGGTTTCGAGAAGCAGAATGTGTGGTTGCACAATTTGTGTGATTGGAGGTCCGTAGCAGCGGGTCAGAAGCCAGGGGCCAAGAGAGGGTAGGGACCGGGGAGCCGATGGCACCCGCCATCTCCGGGGGCTGCCGCGGAAGCGTCTCATGCGGGTGAGGAGGGTGCCGGGGACCCTGTCCTCTGGTAACTGGCCTTCTAGCTCTGTCTCTTATGTCTGACAGTGACCCTGTGAAGCTGCATTTTGCAGATGAGGAAACTGAGGGCTTTGCTTGGCTGGCATCAGGCACATGGAGGCAGGGCTCTGTCACGCTCTCACCTGCCTGTCCATTCCGACTGCCACAGGTCCGAGCCGGAGAGTCCCTGATGAAGCTGGTGTCCGACCTCAAGCAGTTCCTCATCCTCAACGACTTCCCGTCGGTGAACGAGGCCATCGACCAGCGCAACCAGCAGCTCCGTGCCCTGCAGGAGGAATGCGACCGGAAGCTCATCGCCCTGCGAGACGAGGTCTCCATCGACCTCTACGAGCTGGAGGAGGAGTATTACTCGTCCAGGTACAAATAGGGCCGGCCCTGCGGACCTGGGCCCGCCAGCAGGCGCGGCGCGGCTGGCCCCGCAGCCGGCCCCGCAGCCGCGAAGGCCCCGTGTTTCCAGACCCTGCCTGGTCTTGGCAGCGGAGCCCGGCGCCCGGTGTCCGAGCAGAGCTCACGGTCAGAGCGTTTGATCGGCAGACAATGTACACCGTGTACCGGGCCGGGCAGTCGAGGTGAAAACCACAGGACTTCACGGGGTGGGGTCCTCGCCTGGAGGAGGGAGGCCCGAGCCAGCGTTCCTGCCTGGGGTCCCGACCGCCTCTTTTTGAACCTGTCTGCTCCCTTTAGCTTTTTAGTCGATATTTAAACAAGGCTGGACTAGCTCCTCTTGGCGGCCCAGGACACCAGGGATGCCCAGGGAGGCCGTTCCCTGTGGGCATCACCGAACCCCACAGCGGGGAGGGGGCCTGGGGAGCAAGAGAGACAGCCTAAGCAGAGATGGCCTCGGAGGCCAGGCCCGGGTAGGGGGCCCCTGCTTCCCCGTCAGCTCAGCCCGTCCACGGAGCCAGAGCCTTGCCGCATGCCAGGCCCTGGCCAGGTCCGGGGCCACAGCAATGGGCAAGACCCGTCAGCCCGGCCCTCGTGGGGCCTCTGCGGTCGTTTGAGCTACAGGGACCCGAGAAACCCAAGTGTAATTCACATGGGGACACTGAGGCCGGAGGCTGGGAGGCCTCACCCCTCCATCCCCGTTAGCTTGGGAAACCAAGAGTCGGTCCAGCAGACAAGGAGGTCGCACCCCCTCCTGCCCTCGCCCGGACAAACCTGTCCTTCCTGTGTCCGGTGGAGGTTTTATATCCTGGGGCCACAGATGCCCAGAGCCAGCATGGTCTGTGGTCTGGGGCTTGGTTTCCCGGCCTTAGATTCAGTGCCACCCCTCATGGTCCCTGCCCCTCTTGGCCTCTGTGGGAGGGGACAGTGTGTCACTGTCCAGTTGGAGCCGTTCTGGACTTCCCCAGAGCATCCTGGGGCCCCCCGGTCCCTGATACCCATCAGCTCAGCAGACCTGTGGCGACACCTCCTAACACACCAGGCCGTAAGAAACGGGTCCTGAGTGGGGGTTTCAGACCCCTCTGGGGACGTGGCTCACAGCCCTGCTGGTTTTGCAGAATTCCTTCACAACCTCATGTTTGTCCCCGTCATGTCCAAGGGCCGGGCCTCTGGGCTAAGCGGCTACAGGACGGCAATTCAGCCCTGCCTCCTGAGGTCAAGGGCGGAGAGGAGGGGACCTGCCCAGAGTCACTCAGCAGGGCTGAGGGGGAACGCAGGGAGCCTGAGCGCCGGGCTTCCCACGCGCGTTCTGCCCCGTCAGTCTCTGGGTCACCCAGAGGGGCTTTGGGCCATTGTCCCTGGTGCCTCAGGAGGCCGAGTTCCTCCCTCGTCCGTAGCGCCTGTAAGTGGCCAGGGCTCAGCAGAGTCGGGGCCTGCGGGCCGTGCGCTCGTCCTGCTCGTCCCCGCAGCGTGTGACCCAGCGTGCGCCCCATCCGAGTCCCCCGCGCTGAGCCCGCCCTCCGCCCTCCGCGGCCCCGCGGCCCGTCTCCGCGCTTGCCCGCATGCTTTCCGCTTGTGACCTGCTCTTTCTCTGCCTCTCGCCCTCTGCTGTTCGGGGGCCGCTGCTCTGAGCCCAGGATGGTTTCTGAGACTAAGCACTGACCGGAGCGAGGAGGGGAACAGGGAGGGAATGAAGAGCAAGGCAGGGTGCGGGGCGTAGGGGGGGATCCAGCGAGGAAGTGAGGGTCCGTCCCGTTGCAGAGCCCGCCTCGGAAACCTTTGCGAGCCGCGCTCCGCTCCCGCACCCCAAGTCCTCCAGCAGCCGTGTTAGATGCGGGGCCCTGAGGGGCCGGTTTGAGGTCGCACAGCTGGTGCAGTGGTACAGGGTGGGACACCAGGGGCAGACCCAGGAATGAGACAGGGTGCCTGCCTTCAGGGTCCTTGTAAAGCATGGGGACCACAGAGGAACCGCGTGGAGCTGTGCACGCTGGGTGCCACTGCCGGTGACACCGGCAGCTCCCTGCAGGAGGAGAGTGAGCAGCTGGAGCCGGGGTGCGGGTGGCTGCAGGAGCAGGACAGCCACGTGACAGTCAGGACGACACGCAGTGGACGAGTGGAGGGAGCTGCCGAGGTCACACAGACCTGCATTGCTGGTCCTGGAAGGCTCCCCACGTTAGGATGCTGAAGGCCCCTGAAGCAAGAGGGCCCCCCACACACCTCGTGCTCAGCCAGGCCAGCCCAGCGGAGAGTGGGGAGGGGCGGCTCGGGGCGCGGCCCGTTTTCTTAACTCTGCTCTGTCTCGCTTTCCCCTCCGCCGGCTTCCACTCTGCCTGCTCCTGTCTCCCTGGGTTTCTGGTGGTGGAAAAGCTCCAGTCTTTGCGAAGCTAATGATCTGCCTCTGTGCGAAGCTTACTGGAGGCTGGACCTCGACACAGACGCCGCTGATGGCCGCTCGGCCCCTCTGCTGGCGTCCCCGGAGCCCAGCGCTGGCCCCCTGCAGGCTGCAGCCCCTGCCCACTCCCACGCCAGCGGCCCTGGCCCCACGGAGCACCCCTGAGCCTCCCGCGCCCCAGCCCAGGGCCTTAGGAACAAAATCCAGGGCCCCCTTCCGGCCGCCCAGCCTCCCTCCTCTCAGCCTTGGTTTCCACTTGGGGAGCCACTGTGGCCTCCTTGGGCACCTCCTCGGCACAGGGACAGCGCACCCAGGGGTGTCGGGGGAAAGTCGCTCCCCCGGCCCTTGCCAGGGTGGCCCAGTCTTCCCAAGTCACGTCTGGTCGCTGCCTTCCCGGCCGGCTGGTGAGAGAGGTGTCTAGGGCGCTTCGCCCAGCCGAGGACCTCACAGCGGGGCAGGGCGGGCGCCCGATGTCCGGGGACATGACCTGAGCCTGCCGTTTAAAATGGGGGGTGCTCTGAGTGGGCGGTGCTAGCCCTTCGGCCAGGCGCCCCGTGCATGGCCACCACGCCGCGTCGCCCCGAGGGGCGCTGCAGGGCTGGGGTGCCGCTGGTTGCGCACAGGCCGGCAGGGCGTCCGTGTTCATGTTCCGGCTGTTTTTCTGCAGCGAGACTGTCAAATAAAAACAGAGCCGCCCTTGGCGTTGGCTGGTTCTTTCTCGCTCGGACCTGACTGGGCCGGGATCACCGGTGAACTCCCAGCGGCTGTGGGAGTCACAGCTCCTGGACAGCCTGGGGTTCCAGGTCAGTTTCCTCCCATGGTGGCTCTGGGCAAGTGGGGACTTGGTCAGTCTGGGGTCATGGCTGTGTTCCCGTCGGCTAGGACTGCCCGGGACCTGGCCCCTTGATATTTGGTGAATGAAAAACCGCCCTTCCTGTGTCACCGCACCCCGAGTCGGTGCTTTTGTCACATGCATTTCAGGGAGCAGTGGCACATGTCGGGAAGGGGTTGAAGCGTTGTACCCACGGCCGCGGAGCTGGGAAGCGAAGTGGCAGACATCGGGACTCAATCTAGATGGAACGTAGGCCAGCGCCACTGCCAGGGCTCCCTGAGAAAGTGGGGACACTCACAGCAGAAGAGCCGGGGCTTCGACCCTCCCCCGTAACACCGGTGTGCTTTAGCTCCTCATGAGGGACAGCATCGTCCCGGTGTATGGAGGTGACAGCCCACAATCCAGCCTCGGACAGGGAGGGACGCAAGCTGACACCCATCTTAGGTCCCAGAGACCCCCAGGACCATGCAGAGTCACCAGAGAGGTGGCTGCCTGGGCCCCAGCCCTGGCTCCTGCCCTGGCGTCTGGGGCGGGCTGGGGACGGTTTCCCCATTGATGGGATGGGTGGCCATCCCTTCCTGAAACAGTTTAATTGCAAAAGTGACCTGACCACTAAGGACAGCGGAAGCACGTGTGGGGGAGGCGAGTGGTGGGGTCTGGGTCGTCTTCTTTCTAAACACCTGAGAAACGAGCACCCGCCTCATCACTTCCACCCTCCCGGGCTAGTGCCACTGTCCTCACTGGCAAACGAAGCTGTTTCTTTTAAAGTAAAGCAGCTCCCTGCCGCCTTGTCCTCTGCAGCCTGCACCCCTGGCGGCAGGGCCCAGGGACATGGGCTCTCGGCTCAGGATTCTCACCGGCTGCCTCGTGCAGCGGCTTCACACCTGGCCACACTGCACCTGTCAAGATCCCCAGGGGCCTCCGCGCGTGGCTAAACCCTGGTCTTTATCGCCTTTTGATCCCAAGCTTTTCGCTGGGAGGATGTTCAAACCCCTGGAGACGTTACACAGGTGGCACATAGGACAGCGTGCAGCCCCCGTCCTGCAGTGTGTACTTGCACCTATAAATTCATCTTAACGTCAGCTGCAGACCTCGTGACACTCCTAAATACTTGTGGCCCCCGCTAAGAAAAGCAACACTCTTCGTGGCACAATGCCAGTGTCACCCCCCAAATGAATCCCATGATATCAGCTAGTGTAACGTTTTAACTTCCCCAAATGTCTTTTTACACCTGCTTTTACTTTCGCATCGCGCTTAGTTATCATTTCCGATGGTGTTTAAAAGCTAGAACAGGATCAGGATGGTCAGAATAGGTCGAGTAGAATCTCGGATACGTTTGAAGGAAGAGCCAACAGGATTCGCTCAAGATTAGATGTGGGGACTGAGTCAGGGTGGCCTCAGGGTCTGCCTCACGGGGCCGGGAGCAGAGCCGCCATGACAGGCGGGAAGGCGGGACAGGAGGTGGGATACTCGCTCTGTACGCAGCAGGTGCAGATGCGCGTTGGGTGCTCAGATGTGGGTCTGGCGTTCAGGGGAGTCCTCACAGTCAAGCCACGAACCCCAAAGGGACCACTGAGCAGGGGAGTCAGCGGAAAGGAAGTGGTTTGGAGACCCAGAGAAGCCGGGCGGGGGAGGCAGGCCTGCCGTCTGGGGTCCCCGAAGCCACGTGCAGACAGGGTTTGGGGAGAAAGGGAGGATGGGCTGTTCGAACCTCGACACCTGGCACAGAAAGGTCACTTAACATTAGGAGGGCCCATAATCAAGATCTACATGCAGAACTTAACTGTTTTCCCTCCCTGGCGTGTGGCATCTCTGGTGACATCTACCAGTGAAGACCTCAGCAAAGCCTCCAAGGCTGCCCTGGGGATGAAGACCCAGGTCAGATCCCCTGACACATGTGGCATGGGCTGGAGTCCCACTGCAAGAGGACCCATCGTCCCTGTCACTTGTCGTGTCCCAGTCCCCGATGGTCAAACCGACGGTTCCAGAAAGGCCATGTGCCTGGCGTAATGAGCGTGCTGCCGAGATCACACAGCGGATCGTGACCGCACAGCGCGGGAAGACGTCATCCTCGCCCACAGACATCACCTCCCGGCAGAGGGCAGGGGAGAAAGGTAAATTCTTAATGCTTCAAACGGATCCTATTAGCAGCCTTTTGAAAGGGCCTTTCGACGTCCTCACCGCTTGGAGCCCCGGGGCCCGCCCGCTTCCGCTTGGGGTCTGCGCCCCCGAAGCCTAATCCTATCGCCCCTAGTCATTGAGCGCCTCGTGTGTACAGGGCACTGTGGGTCATCAGCACCGCCCCAGCCTCCAGCCGGGGGTCCGGGGCCCCGCAGGCCGCACTCACTGACCCCCGCGGCCGCCCGCACCC